TCTCTCTCTCTCTCTCTCTCTCTCTCTCTCTTAGTCTGCTGATGCAGTGAAGTCAGATAGCGAGAGGGTGAGAAGGAGATGGACTGAGAAGAGGAAGAAGAATAACTCTCTCTCTCTCATATGCCAGTTACTAACCTGTAAAGATGGCGCTGTGCTGCAGGTACCTCGAAGACGAAGCTGGAGCAATGGCACTGCAGGTAAGTCCCTCTGGCCTCCGCCAATATCTCTCTATCTAGTACTACTCTAGCTGCTATGGCGCCCAGCGCTGAAGACTACAGCTAACGCTACTAGCGCCCAGCGCTGAAGACTACAGCTAACGCTACTAGCGCCCAGCGCTGAAGACTACTGCTAACGCTGCTGCTACTCCTGCAGCGCTCCTCCAGAGTGCTGCTGCCGAATCCTGAAGACTACCTCCTGCCTCCTGAACTGCACGTGAAGTGCCTGGGAAGTACCTAGGAACTACCTGCCTGCCTGCAGGGCGGGCCAGTCCTATATAGTGCTGGCCCGTCCAGGAGGCTGCTCTTGCCAATTCCGAAACGTGCCAGACCTTGGCGTTGAACCTCAACCAGGGGTTGTCTTAAAAACAGGCCCGAAATGGCCTGTGCTAAAACCCTGGTTTGTTGCCTGAGTTTCAGGGCAGGTCGAACCGATGACGGCCCGAAAATGGCCCTCAGTTTCAGGCTGAAAACACTCAGGGCCGGAAAGGCCCTGATTTAGCCTGAAACGACACAGGGCCTGTAGGCCCTTGTTTTCAGGCTTTCAGGCTGAAACGACACAGGGCCTGTAGGCCCTTGTTTTCAGGCTTTTGGCCTGAAAACGTCACGGGCCTGGAAATGGCCCGTGCAGCCTGTTGCAGGTGCAGCATGTAACACATATGGAGACTGCAGGCACACAAGATCAGAAATGAAATGAACGGAAGTATGAAGATGAAGGACGGACACAAAGACTGTATAAGCTGAAGGTCTGAAGTGAAATGAACAGGAGTACGAATCTCTGAAGAGATGCACAGGAGCATACCTCCCGTTTTACTCTGCCTCCCTGAAATAACGTGCAAGTGGGCCGTGAAGGCACATGGGGATTTGGGCAGCTGCCGCTCAACCACAATCAACGTGGGCAGCCTTGTGCATAAGAGGCTAAGTAAAAGGGGAGGTGCAAGAACAATGAAAGGGGTACCCCAAGGACAACCAAAAAACTGTCTAATTATAAATTGCTTTAATATGTTGGACATCTCAAATGCTCTCGTTGTCTGCAATAGGACAAAGACTGCTTTGATTCTGAATCTATTCACCTGGGTGGAATTGGGGCTGTTGTGGGGAAAATATAAAATGCACACACACACACACACACACACACACACACACACACACACACACACACACACAACCAAAAAACTGTCTTATTATAAAATTGCTTTAATATGTTGGACATCTCAAATGCTCTCGTTGTCTGCAATAGGACAAAGACTGCTTTGATTCTGAATCTAGTCACCTGGGTGGAATTGGGGCTGTTGTGGGGAAAATCTAAAACACACACACACACACACACACACACACACACAGATAGATAGATAGATAGATAGATAGATAGATAGATAG